TTTTTTTTTTTTTTTTTTTTTTTTAGGGATTGAACTCAGGACCTTGTGCTTATGAGACAGGTGCGGCGCCACTGAGCTAAATACCTCTGGGTCAGGATGGGGCCCTGGCTGGGATCTGCCTGCAGCTATGCTGCTCTGTATCATTTTGATGATAGGGTACACTAACTTTTTTGTTTTACTTCATCAATTAAAACTATTTCACTTTTGTGACTGTAAGTGCTGCCCTCTGTAGCATATCTGTGTATAGTCAATAACTGCTCCTTCTCAGAGCCAAAACTCATTAAAACTAGGACTCACCAATTCCCACATACTTTTCAAAATAAACACTATTTAAAGGACTTGGGCGCTTACTCCATAGCATCAGTAAGTGCCTGCGATAGTTTCATAAAAAGAGCACCTGAGAAACTTCAGGAATACCAAACCAGCACTCAAAAAAATTGTAAACAATATCCTAGGAAAAGAAAACAAGGATTACAACCTCAGGAAGCCCAGCAGAATAAATCCATCAGGCACAATAAGAAATTAAACACAAAGCAGGAGAATCTAACAAAAAGAAAAGGTCAAGACAAGAATAAGTCAATACATATCAGTTACAGCCATCAATGTTACTAGTCTCAATTCACCAATCAAAAGAAACAGAATGGCAGAATGGGTCAAGAAACAAGATCCAACAATATGCTGCATATAAGAAACACAATTCAAAAAAAAAAAGAAAAGAAAAAGAAACTCAGACTGAAAGTTAAAGGGTGGAAGACAATACTCCATATGACAGGAACCTGAAAAAGAAGGAGGAGTTATTCTCTTTACAGATCAAGTAGATCTCAAACCAAAAGATTGAGAAAGACAAAGGACACTATATCCTTGTAAAGGGAACAATCCAAGAAAAAGAGATGACAACCATAATTATATATGCACCACAGACAAGTGTGCCCAACTATACAAAACAAATACTAATACAAATGAAAAATCAAATAAGCATGGGTCATTCTCGAAAACAGACCACATACTCACCCACAGAACATGTTTAAGTAAGAGCAAAGAAATTAAATTGATCCCGTGTATATTATCAGACCACAGTGCCCTGACGTTGGAGATCAATAGGAAAAGAAGCCACAAGAATTTCATAAACACATGGAAATTGAACAACACACCTCTGAATAACCAATGGGTCACAGAGGACATTAAAGAAGAAATCATACAGTTTCTGCTATGAAATGACAATGACAATACAACATAATGGAATTTATGAGACACAATGAAAGCAGTCTTACGAGGGAAATTCATAGCAGTGAATATTCATATTAGGAAAACAGAGCAAGCTCTAATAAACAACTTGATGATGAACCTCATGCTTCTAGAAAAAGAAGAGCAGGACAAACCCAAAGCTCATACAAGGGACTAAAGTATAAAGATCAGAGCAGAAATCAATGCAATGGAGACTAAGCAAATGATACAAAAAAATCAAGGAAGCCAAAAGTTTGTTCTTCAAAAGTATAAACAAAATCAACAAAGCCTTAGCCAACCTTATCAGAAAAAGGAAAGAAGGGCCAGGGATTTAGCTCAGAGGTTCACCTGCCTGTTTCAAAAGCTCAAGGTCCAAAGTTCAATCCCCAGTACCAAAAAAAAAACAAACAAACAAACAAACAAATAAAACCCCAAAGATTCAAATCCATGCAATTAGGAATGAAAAGGGTGAAATTAAAACAGACCCAGCGAAATCTAGAGGACCATCAATAACTACTTTGAGAACCTATTTGCCAATAAGATGGAAAATATAAAAGGAATGGACAGATTCCTTGATATGTATGAATTATCCAAGTTGAACGAAGATGACCTAAAAATTCTAAACAACCCAATATCTGATTGATATTGATGCATGAAATTGAAAATGTAGTTAAAAACTTACCAACTAAGAAAAGCCTGAACCCTGATGGCTTCACTGCTGAATTCTACAAGACATTTAGAGAGGAACTACTGTCACTACTGTTTAAACTCTTCAATGAAATTGAAAGGGAAGCAATACTCCCAAATTCATTCCTGGAAGCAAGCATATCCTCAAAGCAGAGAAAGTCCCAAATGAAAAAGAGAACTATGGGCCAATCTCGCTAATGAACATAAATACAAAAATCCTTCATAAGATACTGGCAAATAGAATATAGAAGATCATCATGAAGATCACACCCTGACCAAGTGGGATTCAACCCAGGGATGCAGGAATGGTTCAATATATGCAAATCAATAAATGTAATACACTATATTAAGAGAGTCAAGGACAAAAACTATATGACAACCTCAATAGATGCAGAAGAAGCATTAAACAAAATCCAAAATGCATTTATGATAAAAACCATACAAAAATTGGAACAGATGGTCTTTACCTCAATCTGATAAAAGCCATCTATGAAAAACCAACAGCCAATATCATACTGAGTGATCAAAAACTGAAATCCTTCACACTAAAATCAGGAACAAGACAAGGATTTCCACTGTCACCATTCTTGTTCAATACAGTTTTGGAACCATTAGCCACAGCAATTACACAAGAGAATAAAATAATAGGAAAGAGGTAAGAAATGAAGAAGTCAATGGGCTGGAGATTTAGCTCAGCGGTTCGGTGGCCTACCTTGCAAGCGCAAGGACCCAAGTTCAATCCCCGGTACCAAAACAAACAAATAAACAAACAAATGAAGAAGTCAAACTGTCATTATTTGCAGGTGACATGATACTCTATACAGAAGACCCCAAGAACTCCACCAAAAGTCTTCTAGACTTAACCAAATTCAGTAAAGTAGCTGGATACAAGGTTAACACAGAAAATTCAATAGCCCTCCTGTACACAAAAACCAGACTCACTGAGAAATGAGGTAAAGAATTCCTTTCACAGTAGTATCCAAAAATTGAAATACCTAGGAATCAACCTAACAAATCAAAGACCTCTACTCTGAAAACTATAGCACTTTGAAAAAAGAGATTGCAGAAAATGGAAAGGCATCACTTGCTCCTTCCCAGGTAGGAAGAACCAATGTAGTGAAAATGGTCTTCTTTCAAATCTGCTATACAGATTCAATGCAATCCCAATTGAAATTCCAGCAGAATACTTCACAGACCTTGAGAAAACAATCCAAAAATTCATTTGGAAGAAGAGATCTAGAATATCAAAAGCAATTCTAGGCTATAAAGACAAGGGAGAGGGTATCACAATCCCCAACGTGAAACTATACTACAAAGCTACCGTGATAAAAACAGCATGGTAGTGGCAAAGAAACAGACCTGAGGACCAGTAGAACAGATTAGAAGATGCAAAACAACTCCACACACACTCATCCACCTCGTCTTTGACAAAGGAGCCAAACACCCTCACTGGTGGAATGATGGCCTCTTTAATAAATGGTGTTGGAAAAACTGGGTTTCAACTTGCCAAAGATTAAAACTAGACCTATATCTCCCACCATGCACTAAACTAAAATTGAAACAGATTAAAATCTAAATATTAAAACTGAAACACTAAACTGACTGGGAGAGAGTTTAGGTATAACTCTTGAAGACATTAGTGTGTAGGAAAAGATTTTATGAAGAAAACCTCAGTTGCACACGAAGTAGCACAATCAATCAACAAGTGGGATCTCTTATTGAAAAGCTTCTGCACAGCAAGAGAAACTACCAACAGTGTGAAAAGACAAACACAATACGGGAAAAAATTTTCACCAGCTGTTCCTCAGACAAAGGTCTACTACCTAGAATATATAAAGAACTTAAAAACAAATCAGACCTCCCAAATTTAAAGACCCAATCCAAAAGTGAGCATATGAAATGAACAGGCATTTCTCAAAGTCAAAGTAGCAAATAAACATATGAAAAAAGGTTCACCATCACTGGTCATTTGGGTGATGCAAATGAGAACAACACTGAGATTCCACCTCACCCCAGAAAGAATGGCTGCTATTGTGAAATCAACCAATAATAAATGCTGGCAGCGTTGTGGGGAAAGAGGAACCCTGCTCCACTACAGGTAGGAGTGTGGACTGGTGCAACCACTGTGGAAATCAGTATGGAGATATCTCAAAAAATTAGGATTAGAAGTCCCATTAGATCCAGCTATCTTCTGCTGGGTATCTTCCCCAAAGAATTAAAAGAATCATACCACAGTGATATATCTGCAGCCATGTTCATAGCAGCACAGTTTGTAATAGCTAAAACTTGGAAGCAGCCCACTGCCTGTCAACTGGATAATGAAAAATGTTTAAATAAAATGGAGTACTACTCAGCCATAAAAAGTGAAAAATTAGAGACATTTAAAGCTAAATGGATGCACATTGAGGCAATACTCTTAAGTGAAATAAATAGGATACACATGTGTAAGTATGGAATAGTTTCTCTAGTATGAAAACTGAAAGTGTAAATAAGGACTAAAAGGTGTGATAGATAATGTGAGATAGGAAGAAAGGGGCAAGGGAGAAGAGGAAATGGGTAGGGTAGGGGAAAAGGAAAGGAGGGAATGGAATATGAGAAAATGAAAAAATGGCAACAAAGTCTCTGTAAACAGGGAGGGATGGAGAGGTTGTAGGGAGGGCAGGGGAATGGGGAAAATATAAGAACCAAGATGGATTATGTAACGGTGCAAATTTCCAATGATGAATGTCATTATATTGTATACTTTAAATGTACCAATAAAATCAATTTTTAAAAAAGAAAAAAGAAATAAATTAAAAATAAAGGACTTGGATTTTGTAAGGAAATCTACACTTATTTAATACATAGATAAGGAAGGATTATAAATTCTAGGCCACAAAAATATCAAATATATTCATTATTAATCCTAAGCGGTCTGGCTGGAACACATGTAAGAGTTTTCAATTTTTCAAGAAAATTAAGCAGCAGCAGCAGGTCACTCACTTTCTTTGCCAGAAATAAAGCTATACAAAACACCTTAGACTTTCAACTGCAAGGCAACTAAGAGGACTATTAAGAATGACAGGTGGGAGCCAGGCGTGGTGGCGCACGCCTGTAATCCCAGCACTCCAGAGGCTGAGGCAGGAGGATCACTGTGAGTTTGAGAACAGCCTGGGCTACAAGGTGAGTTCCAGGTTAGTCTCAACTACATAGTGAGACCCCATCTCAAAAAACAAAACAAAACAAAAAAATAAGTAAAAATACTACTGGGGATTGAACTCATAGCCTTTGATTGAGCTACACCTCCAGCTCTTATTTTTTAATTTTGAACAAAATAAGAACCAAGATATGCCATGGAAAGGTACAAATTCGCAAAATTCCCAATGATGAATGTCACCACACTGTGTACCTTAAAGGTGCCAATAAACTTAATGAATAAAAAAATAAAATAGGGCCAGGATTTAGCTCAGTGGTGCAGCTGCCTGCCTTGTAAGCGCAAGGTCCTGAGTTTAATCCCCGGTAACAAAAATAATAATAATAGTAATAATATAAAATAAAATAAAACTTTGGGACAGAGTCTTGCTAAATCACTAAGTTGCTCAGGTTGGGCTCTAACTTCTGATCTCTTGCCTCAGCCTTTTAGAGTGCTGGAATTAGAGGTGCATGACCAAGCTTGTATTTCTGTAATGTTTTTAAAATCTAAGTATGTATCATTTTTGTCATTAATATATGCATATAGGGATGGGGATTTAACTCAGTGGTTTCACCACCTGCCTCACAAGCACAAGGAACTGAGTTTGATACCCAGTACCATCCCCCCCAAACACACACACACACACACACACACACACACACTCCAAAGAATCATTTTTTTTTTTTGGTACCAGGATCAAATTCGGGTCCTTGCGCTTGCGAGGCAGGCCACCAAACCGCTGAGCTAAATCCCCAGCCCTTCAAAAGAATTAACGCATACTTTATATTACCCTAATTCGAAATTCTAAGGTCATTTTGTCACTACTGCTAGATGGTTCCCGACAGTCTTATTTATACCTAGCTCTCAAGCACCAAGCATAGCTTCTTACTCATAGTGGGTGTTTGAGGGACTGGGGATTTAGCTCAGTGGTTTCACTGTCTGCCTCACAAGCACAAGGACCAGAGTTCAATCCCCAGTACTCTCCCCACAAAAAAGGCATAGTGGGTGTTTGAGAAATATCTGCTGAATGAATGAATTAATGTGGTAGCTGAGTTAAGAGCCCATACTGTAAGAAAACTAGCTACTTCTATTTTATAACAAGTACAATCTTTAAATCACATCTTAAGTTTTGGTAGTTGTATTACAGAAACTACAAACTATAGCTTCTCTTCCTCTCATATTCAAAAAGCTATAAAGGAAAAATATCAAAAACCTAGACCTTATCTTTTATAAAATAATTAAATCCTAAAATGGATACTGGTAGTTGCTGAAACCAACACGGCCAAAGCCCTGAGGCACACAAGCACAATGTGCAGTTATTGCAGGCACTGTTCTTACCTGAAAGTTACTTTTTAACTTGAACATACTTACGTTCTCTGTATTCTATTTCTGCCTCCTTACGTAGCTTTTTCTCTCTAGCAAGAGCTTCAGGGCTTCCCCAAACTTCCAAAGATCTGTGCACACACACGAAACACTGATTAACAATTTTAATAACTTTATGATAATTATATTTAAATCTAAATGATCTACTATAACTAAACAGAATCCTATAAGAAAGTATAAGGTCTTTCTTACAGAGAAATATAAAGCACTTAAGGAACTTCACTAAAGTAAATATAAACAAGAGTAAAAATTTTCTTATAAATTATAGCATATATTTAATTAGTATAATTAGTGTATAAATTTGTTACTAGTACCAATAAAATTTGCAAATACAAAAATATTGTTTTTTAAATATGTCATTTAAAAATTCTCAATCTGTCTCTAATGTCTTTTTATTAATCTCAAATTTGGCTTGTAGTTTTTCTCTAAAAGAATTATGTTCTTACTTTGCCTCCACATCTGATCTCAAATATACAGTAAAGGACTCAGTATCTTCATGGGGACTTCGTCGTCTGATTTTCCGAAGCTGTTCTAGATCACTGGAAAAAAAGCACACTGCATTTATTCAAAGTGCATATAGTTTATCAATTAAAAGAATTATTAAGGGCAGGTATAAACAACTCATCTTTATTTTAAAAGAATATACCTGTACAGCTTTTAAAGATCAGCTTAAAGATGGCATTTCTGTATATTAAAATGGCATAGAGACAGTGAAAAAAGAATTATTATTATTTTTTAAAACAAGGTCTTACTGTGTAGCCCAGGCTGGCTTTGAACTCACAGCAATCTTCCTGCCACAAGAATTATTCTTGACGCTCAACAATGTAATACTGTAGGCATTCAACTCCCTCATCAGTGGTTATATTTTATCTGCTACAGGCATATACCACTATCTTTAGTACATGAAAGAAAAGAGGGCCAGAGATTTAGTTCTGAGGTTGTACCACCTGCCTTGAAAGCACAAGGACCTGAATTCGATTCCTGAAACCAAAAAAAAAAAGAAAAGAAAAAGAAAAAAAGACAAGTAATAACACCAGAAATTGGAGTATCATCTTCATAGCAAAGAATTTAAATAAAAAATTTACAAGTTATTTGTTCATATCTAGATTAATACTAAGTGGTAATATCCATTCAAGGATATCAAGTCATAAAGGCTGTATGTCAATCAAGTGCTATTTAAATTTTTTTCTCTAAATTCTACAAGATTTATATATTTACCAGGTCACTGCTTGTTAAAGTATTTGTATCTTCCTAAAGGAATTTTTAACAGGAATGAAGAGAAAGATCTATAAATAAAATTCAGTGACAATGGAATGACATTAAGTTCTACAAATTAAATCTAGATTTTTTAAAAAACCAGCCCCCGCCAAATCAACAGCCATTACATACTACTAAAAAAGGCTGGGCCAGATATTGAAAGATATGTATTCTAATTCCTTCCATGTCACTGATTCACTACATGAGTTGGGTCAAATCATTAACATCTTTCATTATTTTTCCTGGCCTATAACATGGTAACAACAGTCACGCAACTATAGGAATATTTACTTCTTGGACTATAAGGGAAGAGGGAAAAAAACATAGATACATAGATTATATGGTTTCTCTTAAATGGATCAGAAAGGATGAAGAAAAGTTTTAAATCTGTGACAAATACAATCACAATAAATCTCTATGATTATGAGAAAATTAATAACAAAAGATACCAGAAAAAAGTAATATTAAGTTATACTTAACAGAAATCACAATTATAAGTATGATCATTAAATATAACTAAGTGTTCAATTCTGCTAGCCAAAAATCAACAACTGCAAAATGTATAAGGTCAAATATAGAAATAACCTTACTGATAACTGTACCACATCCCACTATAAAAGCAGAACTCCTTAGAGTTCTGTGATACATAGCTTTTTTTTACATTTACCTTGTGGATGTAAAAAGCTGAAAAAAACTGAAATTGTTCATGCTTGAACAGAATTCAGTTTAATAAGCTAACGATTTTAACATTTTTGATTGAATAAAAACATTTCTCCAATTTGGAAAGAAGGCAATGGTGCTGTGATCGCAGCATTCAGGAGGCCGAGGCAGGAGGATCGCCACAAGTTCAAGGCCAGCCTGGGCCACAAAGTGAGGTGAAGACCAGCCTAAACTACACAGTGAGATCCTTTCTCAAAAAACAAGAAAGGGCCGGGGATTTAGATCAGTGGTTCTGGCTCCTGCCTCGCAAGCACAAGGACAAGGACCTGAGTTCAATCCCTGGTACCAAAAGAACAAAAAAACAGAAAACAAGAAAGAAAGAAAGACAGAGAGAGGGAGGGAGAGAAAAGAACTGATTATTTAAATAAGGCATATCACTACATTTTTTAAAAAGTACTATACCTGGATTTGAGGCAGAACTCATTTATTGCTCTGACTCCAGTGATGAAATTATTCTGAGTGTATTTTGATCCATACTCCCTTTTCTTAAGAACTGCTTTGACTAAAGCAAAACACAAGAAACATGTAAGAATGCACATCAAAACTCATATCTGAAAATGAATACTTGCTGACACTGAGTTCACACCTGAATTCATAGGAAGTTGATCTTTCCTCTCGATGTATCAACTGACATTTAAAAAATGGTGGTGCACTGCCTATAATCCCAGCACTAGGAAGCTGAGGGAGGAGAACGGATTGCTAGGAACTACATCACGAGACCGTGTGACTAAAAGAGGGGAGGGGAGAGAAGGGTGGGGAGCCGCCAAGTACAGAACAGGGTGGAATTTCATTTACAGCCATCTAGTTTTTATCTGTATAAACTCACCTATAAATAATGCTAAACTGACCAACTTTTGTCTAATGAACATCTTGTGTTAGTAGTACTTTTTAAATCATTAAAACAATTTAAATTGTTTAGGGTCTAAATGAAAACAGATTTTCAATAAAAAATTACAGGCTTGGGCCGGGGATTTAATTTAGCTCAGTGGTGCAGCCGCCTGCCTCGTAAGCACAAGGTCCCAAGTTTGACCCCGGGTACCAAAACAAAAAAAATTACAGGCTAGTTCCAGGAGTACAGAAAGCTAAGCAGCAACCTTGAAGGATCTGGGTCATCATGTACCCACCAACTGGAAAATCCTTCCCTAGTCTCAGTTCTCACCTCAAGGCCCCTGTAGGAGGTTACCATGGAGTATTCCGCACCCAGCACATGGACCTCTACCAGCAGGCTTCCCCGCCGGATGTCTGGCTGAGCATCTAAGGATTAGGAGCAGACAGGCCCACATCCTGTTGGGGGCCTTCCCAAAGAGCTTAGGTCTCGAGGGGATGAGGAGGCTGGGTTGTCCCCAACATGCTGAGTCTCCACTCCTCAGCCCCGGGGCTTGTTTATAGATTATAAATATATAAGGGGGAATGTGGCAGGAGCGAGGGGTGGTGGAGCTGGAGCCTCATTTCCCCTCCTCCACCTCCCTGGGCCTCTAGCCCTAGGGCTGCTTGTTAAAAAAGAGTAACAAAATAATTTTTAAAAATCTTACAGGCTAATTCAGTTTTTTTCAAAGGTGGGGTAAAACCAGCATTTTATTAAAAAGTCAAAAGAGAAAGCAATCAAAAAAATTAAGGATAAATTTTTTGTGAAAATTTTTTATTCAGTTATATATAATAATCTATATTTTCATTAACTAGTATTTTTTTGTGGATGTAGTAAAAAAAGTTTAAAGCCACTGGACTATTTCATGTAATGTAATAAAACTGAAGTAAACAAACTTTATCCATCAAAAATTTCATGAAGTTTACAGGTTATAAATAAATATTGCCTTCTAATAAATTATTTTCTTATTTTAAAGTATGAAACTATTCATAAGGGTCTAGGAATATAGCCTAGTGATAGAGCACTTGTCTAGGATGTGCAAGGCCCAGGTTTAATACCTAACACTAGGAAAAAAAAAAGTATCTTGGTTCATGCCTATAATCCCAACTATTCAGGAGGATGAGGCAGGAAGATCTTAAGTTTCAGGCCAGCCAATTTCACAAGACTCTGTCACAAAATAAAAAGAGGGCTGAGGATACAAGTCAGTGGTAGAGCAACCCTGGGAATACATAAACAAAATAAAACAAACAAACAAACAAAAACCACAAAACTTGCTCATAAAAAATAAAGACTGACATGCTAGACAGGGTGGCACACACTTGACATCCCAGCATTCTGGGAGGCTGAGGTAGAGGGGTTACAAGTTTGAACCTAACCTGGGGAATTTAGTGACTTGGTGAGACTCTGTCTCAAAATTTTAAAAGTGCTGGGGTGATAGCTGAGTACAAAGGCTCTAGGTTCAATCCCTAGCAGAAGGGAAGGGG